GACTGGCTGAGCAGTGCTGCTGCTTTCTCCATCTGATTGCTCACTCCTTCCCAAAGACAGTTAGGGTAGGAGACAGGCAGAGTGTGGACACCTCTGACAGTCATACAAACAATACCTGTCAGTGTTGCTTTCTGGCTAGCTACCTGGCCATTGCCACTCCCACCAAGGAACTCTCTAGTTCTGGCCTTTGTACCATGATGGGTTGTGGTTTCTGGGTTTGGACAACACAACTAGCCATCATGGTACAGAGAAACCATAGACTAGGCCACTGTTTTTGTTTGTAGTTTTTAAAGACCAAACATACCACTCTGAAATACCCGTTCTGGGTTTCAGATGGCATGACAGACCAACAGTGGCAAAAAAACCAAAAACCCACCATGGTTTGTAGTGTCATGTGAACCTGCCCCCTCTCTGTTGCCCTTCTCTCAGCTAGCAAAAGTCTCTTTTTTCAGGAAGGCCTTTGGCCTGCAAGTGAGTCTGCTGAATTGGATTCCATTTTCATTTTTTCCTGTGATCATCATGTTTTATTGTATGTAATGTTTGAATGCCCTCACCAAAGTGCATTTAACAAGAGTCTTTAGGGGGAAATGCTGGTTGATATAAGTCTGTAGTAATGCCAGGCCCTAAGACTGTACTGTTTGGTACACATTCCAGGAAAGATACCCATGAATATCATGAATCATAAACACTCAGTTTCACAGGTGTGCTAAAATTAGCAATAGTATTCTGCAGTAAAACAGCATTTTTTCTTCCAGTGTTCCCGTCCTCTTTTTTAATCATTATGGTCCATTTTCCTCCCTCACTGCCACACAAGATTATCATCTCCAGTAAACAAAGAAAACATGAACTCTTAAAAACAAGTTCTTTGGGGCAAGCAACCAGAGACCTGAAACACTAAACAGAAAGTAATATGGAAGTAGTTTTCCCTGTTTTCTGTAAGGGGTCAACAGCACTTTAACCTACACTGCATTTCAACTAGGTTGACTGATGCTTGAAGATGGAAACTCTTTGGCATGTCAGGCTTGTCAAGGCAATGAAGTGTAATCAGGAAGGATGCAACAGCAGAGAAATGTGTGAAAAAGTACTTTTCTTAGAGGAAGGAGAGGCTGTAGATTTTGAAGTTGGATAGGATATGTGGTGATGAAATGCTCCGGTGGGACTGTGGTGTTTTTAGCGTTGTCTTTTTTACAGATGGTTTAGATTCTAAAGAAAGTTGTCATGAAATCTTGGCTGAATGGCAGAAAGGTTTGTCAAGTGGTAATAGAAGATCAGATCAGCTGTAGCAACTTGATTACTATGGGTTGTATCCAATTGTATTCCTATTGTACCTATGTTTATGAATTGTTGTTAACCATCCAGATAGATGTGACTATTGGACAGTGCAGAAATGAAAATAATAACAATAGCAATATTAGCCTAACTTGCATCCCTCTCATTTCAGTAAGTCTACACTAAGTAGGATCAGATTTGAACGTATACCTGAGGCATTCTATCTGCAAAATATGGAAATCTAAGACACCACATTAAAAGAAGTATTCCAAGAACCAGGTCATATAATCAAATTGTTATGTTAAGAACATGGATTTAAAATCTGAACCTTTCTGTCAATAAATGTAAAAAGAACCAGGTTCTTAAAAAACAAGATGGGCAAGAAAGCCACACAGAAAACTGAGACTCTCAATTGGCAAATGTTGCATCTTAGACTGCAGTTCCACTTGCCATTCACCAAGCTGCAGGATAAATGCAAGGAACTGGGTATTTATTTTGAAGGACAAGTAAATAGGAAGAGAAATGGGAATGCAGGGGGGAAATTGTATATTTTAGAAGCAGCAAAGCTGTGCTGCACACCCTGTGGATCCTGTGAGTATGTGCATGCACTAAGGTGCTTCTCTCCTTCCGCACACAACCATGGCGATCTCAACATTGCCTTGGGAAATGCCAGGTGAGCACTTTCCTATTCTGCAGTGTTAGCACAACAGATGGCAGTTCTTCTGAGGGCCTCTTCAGGCCCGTAAAAAAGGGAGGAGGCGTGCTCCCTCTCTGCCAGTCTCCTTCCCCATACTGGTGGCCCTCTCCTAGTGGAGGGCAACTGCCTGAGAAGGAGGGCCTCCTGTAGCCATGGGGGCTGTGCAGCTGAGCTGGAGTATCTCTGCCTGGCTCATGTGGAACACCCCATGGAAACAGGAGGCGCTCCTGTTAAGACCATCACTCCCCATGTGTACAGAGCAACAAACATGACGGAGGAGATGGACGGCTAGAGTGTTCCTTTTGCTCATGCATTGCTTGTAACCCTTTTCTGAGCCCCAGGATTAGGCTATAGCATCTAATGCTTCAGCAACAGGTAGCTTCAATCCACCCACCACCCCATGAGTCATTGAGTCTGCTCCCTTCCAGAATAATGCAGGAATACTGGAAACGAAAGATCTGATCTTCACACAACTGGGGCAACTGGTATGCGAAGAAATCATGATTTGAATTCGTAACTAAGCCACCGTACTCTTTGCAAAGCCAAACCCACTCTTGTCCTTTCCTTCAGGCCTACTGACTTCCACATTTTCCTCATAGTTTTGCTCTGCCTTTTTAATTCTGAACAGCTGCACACGACTGGAAAGATTAACGTTCTCACTGCCTAGCACAGCAGTGAATGAATAAAGTCCATCACACTATGAATTTATTCTTCTCAAATGTCTCTTTAGCATCCTTGTGGTAAAAGCCTCTAAAGAAAGCACAGTATGTAAATTCCTTGGCCCAGCTGTTGAGAATAATCTCGTGCTCAATATAGAATAACCTTGTACCTAAATCTTTTTACTCTGGGGTCTACATCTCACAATACCATCTGATGATACAGAAGGGCGCCACTAGTTTCAGTGTGCAATAAGACAAAACACACAGCAAGCTCCGCAATCACACAGGGTGTGCATCATGCTGCACAAGTACCCCTGCAGATTAAAAGTCTACAGAGGGAAATGGGGCGATAAAGCAGTTGAGAGTGTGAGCAGTGAAGTTGTGAATTCAAATTCTGCCTCAGCCAGAAGTCACAAGGAGCCTTCGGCAAGTTCCTGTTGCTTCAGCAAACCCCTCTTTACTTATTTTTCTTTAAACAGCAACAACAAAAACAACTCCTCTGCCTTTCCATACTTCAAAGCAGCTTCCATAGTGAGAAAAATACTGTATTTTATTTAGGGGTAATGATAGTAGCTTACCTTATCATGTTGTTTCAAAGATGACTGTAAAGGCTTTGCAACTGACAAAAGGAACATAATTATCAAGTAATGTTATTATACTGATTTATTCTATTACTGGGTTCCTTCTGGCTCTCTCAGTAAACACTGAGCCCCAAGAACAGTTGGTTAAATACAGCAAGGGAGGTTATAAATAGCCAGTAATCACTGCAACATTAATTGTTTCACAGAGTAATTTGCTTATGCAGTTTTTAATTCCACTCTACAGATTTTTCTTTGCACAAAAGTTATTGCCAGTAAGGAATATATTGCTGCACGAAACTGCAATAAAAGGATAGTGGTTGACATTAGGTAGGGGGCAAACAGATTTATCGGTAAACTTTAAGAAGTTTATTTAAACTGTAGTTTTGGTCTCCTCTTTGGTTTGTCATAACAAAGAAAATGTCTTCACTGCAACTAGAAGTTTTCTGTCTCTTAACATCTGCTGGGAGCAATTGACAGCAAAAGAAGAAGGGGATGGCAGAGGATGAGGTGGCTGGATGGAGTCACTGAAGCAGTTGGTGTGTGCTTAGGGGGAGTCCAGGAGATGGTGGAGGACAGGAGAGGCTGGAGGAATGTTGTCCATGGGGTCGTGATGGGTCAGACGTGACTTCACGACTAACATAACATCTGTGAAGCCCAAAAAGGGCATTCTCTACATTCTGTTCTGAGACAGTCCTCTTAAGGCTAAATGATACAAGAAACTGGACTAATGAGAGCAGGAATCCAGATATGATACACGAGCAACCAAGATGCTCCTTGAGCTGGCCCTGCATTTGGATAGGGTGTGATTGCAGAGAACAAAGCACACCTCTGCTTTCCAGGAAGCACCCTTTGTCCAAGACGTTGCTTGAGGGTGATGGTCTTAACCTATGGCAGCTTGGGGCACAATTCAGTGGCCAGTGGATGCAGTCTGGGAGACATCAGAGTCTCAGCTCCCACCTCTTGAAATTGCTCTGAGGCTGGACTGGGACCCCAAAGGTGGCACGCCCTCCCTTGCTGCATCTGCCAGTGAGAATCCCTTTTGTGGGCAGGGATTGAGAGTTTACTACTTGAAGTTTAGTGTTTTACAACAGGTCCCATACAGCCTTCTTCATCCACATAACAAGCAATTTCTTGAGGGACCAGGAAGTCCAATGGGGAACCTGAGGAATCCTGCGTGAAGCAGCTGTTGCTCTGCTTGCTTCAGTGTTCTTCCATAGCCATTCCTTGCCCTTGGTAAAAGTAAAAGTGGTGCAGCTACAGATTATTGGGGTGCAGCTACAGACTGACCCCCTTCATTCTCCCATCCTCCTGTCCAGCTCCAGTCAGTCTCTTCTGCATATGTTCTCTGTTGGCATAAGTGTTGCCCACAGGATGAGATTTTGAATGGAAGACAGATAAGTGAGAGGTGCGAAAGGGCAGCGGCAGACTCACCCTTTCCTCCTGTTATTCTGCATAATACCAAAACTGATCTAGAGGGTTGATGAGAATACATGTTGAGCAGATCATACAAGTTATTTCAGCCATTGGCTCTTGAGAAGCAGCAGGAATTGTACAGCCCCTCTGAAGGAAAACAGAACTCAAGGTGCTCAAGAGTCTCCCTTGCAATGAAATTTTCACCTTTGCATCTTCAGTTTTCTCTTTTGTGAAATTTAAGCACAAGTAATTTATCTTGTTTCCTCAGAAAAATAGCATCACGATTCATTCTAACAGGGTTTTAACAACAGTAAGGGAGGTCTATGACAGCTAAATAAGACTGAACAAGAGGAAATATAAAGCAACTCTTTCACCTTCTAGGCCGCCACTGCGAGGTCCATCAGATGATTGGAAACTACATGTGGGATCCAGATACAAATAAATCTTTCGATATTGGTGTGAATGAAGACAGCATGTTGCCTATCTGGTGGAATGGATCAGAGCCATTGTGGGTGACTATGATGAAAGCAAAGCGGAAAGTTGCTATGTACTATTGGCCTGGTTAGTATTGTCAAATTCAGTACCTCTTCATTTGCTGACTAATGTTGCATGTTCCATTCTGTAACAGCTACAAAAACAAGTTTATGACTGATTACTCTGGCCCGGATCCAACACGGTGCACACATGGAGTCTTTCTGAAAAAGCAGAAATCCCACTGACCAGCTGTTATACGAACCCACTCACCATTTGTTCCTCCTCTCAAACAGATGACGGGGGGGAGACTTCAGCCTTTGGGAAAGAGCTCAGCACATGGAGCAGCAGTGGATTCAGGGAGGGTGCCTTCCACTCATGCAGCTTCAACATCCTGTTCCGAATGTTGCCTTTTTGGGGACTACTTTGTAAAATGCTCTCTACACTGATGGTGCAGTGGTGCTGCTGGTGGCGGTATCTGCATAAATTAAATATAGGGAACTGAAAACATCCATTAAAAAGGCGGGCCTAGATTGAAACTTATCAGCTTGTCAACATGAAGTTTAAGCAGTTGAGAGCACAATACCTTCCCCATCCCAGTATCCTTTAGATTTTTGGTCTAAAGCTCTTAGCATCTCTGAGAATTTGCCATATTGGGAGTTTCAATCAAAAACGTCTGGAGAAAACTGCTTCAGCAATACAGAGAGGGGATATTAATTAGTATGCCTACACAGAAGCCCATGTTGTCACCCCTCTGAAATAATTAACTGATGGACTGAAGGTATGACATGCTATATGAAAGGGCAAAAGATTCTGACTTCAAGATGCAAATTTGGAGCCTGGTTCCTTTGATCTTTCTTACTATCACATACAGTGCTTCCAAAGAGCTCCATTTGTTTCTGTTCCGTTCATGACATAAATGATGACACTAATTTCAATAGTCGTTTTATAATATGTTTTCCAATAAGAATAATCTATTTATCAGTACTGCTAATGTCATCCATGCCAGTTATGCTCTGGAATACTGTTAATGTGAACATATGCAAATAAACTGCAACAATTCACTTCCCATTAAATATTTGCTACCGCAACCCAGAGGTACTCTCCAGAGAATGCTAGTGAATCTCCTAGTTAAATAGTGTCTCTGCTCAGGCAGTAAGACACTGGTGTGTTCAGTGGGAGAACAATCAATATGAAAACTCTGATGCACATAGTGGATTATATGCTTGGGGTGGATACAACTATTTTCTCTGCACAAATGGAAGGCTTTCATCAGCAGCAGGGGAAGAGACACAATTTTCAGCTTGTTCTTTCCCCTCCTTGAAACCCTTTATAACCCCAGATCTGCTCAGGAGAATTGGGGGACCTTCCAGAGCAGATGCTGGGGGTGGGGGAAATAGCTGAAAAATGTAGCCCTCCCCATATCCCTGATGGAAGCATTGTGTCAGTGGAGAGAAACTACTTGAATTCTGCCCTTTATTTGTACACATTGAACACCACATGAGTATTGCTCTCTAGTTGCGATAATTTACAGTTCTCTCATGTCTCTGTACTTGGCTGAATATGCGTGTCTCTGGGTATATGTGCAGAGTGCCAGTGAGGCAGTGACCCACTTGCCCGTGTCCTAAGCCAGTTCATCTCCTCCCCCTACATGAGCCCCCAGTCACGTTCCCCCTCAAACAATGCTGCATGAGAGCATTCAACAGACAGAGCAGCGTCTCAGCAGCAGACAGGCAAAATAAACAAATAAATAAATAACAATACAAGTTTGTGTTTGCTCAGCTTTGATAAGGGATGCAACAAGCCACGCCATTCTTCCTTTCTTAAAAAGGACAGCTGATGAACAACTAAAATACCATAGCACTTTCGCAACTTGCCGTTGGTGTCAAATGTTCCCTAAATCCGTCAACATACAATCTCATCTTAGGGTAGTTACCAAATGACCACTGGATGACATCAGCCTAACCAACTGGTGTTAAAATTAGTACAGAATAATGAAGGGTGATCTTTCTATACATTTTAAAATAGGGGTGGTGTTGTAATTGGAGAACAGATGTTGAGGTAAGTTTAAAAACTTTAAATACTATTTTCTTTAACTACTAAAATAGTTATCTTCACTAAAAAATAATTGCTCCCAACTAACATATCCTGGTACTCGGTATTCCCAGGACCAAGAGTGCAATCCAATACCCGTCCACTCTACCCTAATCTCTGCCATTACCGCCCTGAGCATTTCATCTCAATGGCCGTTTTCAGCTGCCTAGATTAAGTGCTGCTGAGGAGGAGGAAAGGCAGCTGGGGGGCCACTGGGAATAAGCTCCATGAATTGGGCCCAGCCTCTTCCTTGCCCTGTCCACTCCTCCAGCACAACCCCTCTGAGGCCCAGATGTGACCTCAGGAAGACAGCCTTCAGGCCCAGCTCAGACTTTGGAGCTTGGGGCTCTGAATAAATCAGATCAGAAGGCCAGAGATTGCACCCTAAGCTTTCCTATCACAAGGGTTCAGGTTATATAGCAGCACTATAAATAACTAACAGTGCAGGCCAGTGGACTTCTAAAGTTGACTAGGATTTTTCAGATCCTAGTCAGCACCCCAGCACCCAAGCCTTGGCACAACATGTCAATGAAAATGACTGTCTGGAAAAAAATGCAGCGCATGATGCACAGAGGCCCGGATGTGCGCCCATGTTTCAGGAGCAGCTCCATGAAACTGTAAACTTTGAGACCAAAGAAGAATATTTGCAGCACGCACTGCATCTCTAGCATGTTCTGGATGGATGTGAAGACCTTCTTTCTGGATGTCTCTTAAGAATTATTTGAATAACTAGCATTTGGATGTGGAGTACTTTAAGTGCTGACTGGAATCAGTATAAGTCCGTGGCCCTGGCCACCTCTCCTCTCGACCCCCAGCTTGCCCCCGCCAAGGACAGGTTGCGACCCTGGAGATGGGGGCAGCCTGCACAGTTCTTTCTATGCCAGGTGCGAGAAGGGCAGCAGTTCGGCCTTTAGATTCCCAGCTCCAAGATCATAGAAAGGTCAGGAGACCACTGGATTTTGCCCTTTACATCATATTTTCAGGTGACCATGCAGCTACCATTTTTAAGAGCATGGGGAAGTTCTCTTCTGCCAAAATTCAATCACTGAATCAGCAGTGAGAAAAAATGTTGGAAAAAAAAGAAAGAAAGAGCATTCAGATTCCATTCTGGTTTCCCTCCCCAAATAAGACATTTACCAGACCTTTTGAGCAGGTCTGGAAAGCTTTAAAAAGTGTTTGTTATGATGTACAGCATCCAACTGTTAAGCCAATATTTAGACATGCAATTTGAAAATGACAGGTTCAGGTCTCTGTGTCAAACACATAAAAGATGGAGAAAAGCATACATTTTGTTATTTAAAGGCAGAGGGGAAATGGAATAACCATTTCTTTTTTTAAAGTTTAAACTGTATAGTTCAAATCATTTTGTAAAATCAGTATAATGTAAAATGATGCCATTTAAGGTATTTGTGCAATCTGGGCAATATGGATACTTAGTATTTGTATCCAGAGCAGATTTACATGAAAGCCATGCCAGATTGCTGGATGGGGTACCACAAAGGCACAGCCCACTATGGCTGTTCATAGGTTTTCGACATTTTTTCTAATGCTTTAGAAGAGTGTACATGTGCCACAGAGAATAAAGATCTATTATTTCAGCACTTTCACCTCTGAAAACAACAGTTTTTGCACAGATAGAGCAATCCTAAGGTTGCTCGGAGAGCATCCCAGTGACCATGGATATGGCAGAATCCCAATCCCAAGAAATCTTGGAATAACTTGGAGAGGTGGACAAAAATGGGGTGGGATGGTGAACAAGGAAAGGGGAGAGGAGGCACAGACCCCCAGGATCTTACAGCTTTGCCATTGCTGTTTCTCACCAGTAAGATAGCTGGACAAGCTCAGAGTCCTGTCTAGCTGAAACTGCTTTTTCGAAGAGGATGAAATGGCTTCTGCCATTCCCCCCACCCTGCTTGGTTCTAACCAGCAAGGCTTTGGATCAATGAGGGCTCTATCACAGACTGTACTCTTAGGGTGTGATCCCATTGTTCCCACAGCAGATGCATGTAAGCCTCCAAATTCAGAGCTTGCAAGCATCCAAGGGAGGAGTGAGGCACCAAGGTAGCCATCTCTGCCACCACTGTGCCTTGTACCCTGCATTCTCCGTAGACAGCTGTTTGCAGCCATTTGGACTGAGAACAGGGACGGGGAGGAAGGAGGCTGGGGCACCTGTTGGAATAGGCCTCTTCCCCTTCTTGACCTCCATTATGCCCTCTTTCCCCCCCTCCAAGGCCGGTTGCAACCTTGGAGGAGAGGGCAGCTGGGGCAGCTCTCTCTGTGCCAGCTCTGACCCGCAGGGCAGGACAGTCCTCCCCTGTGGAGGCCTAGTTCTGAGACTGTTGGATCTTGGCGATCCTATGGCCTCTCACTTGATGCCAGAAGACCATACGATTGCACCCTTAGAGGCCAAAATGCTACCTTTTCTAAATCATACTTTTGGTCAGTATCTCTACCCACTGGCAAGTAGAAAATACAAAATTCATAGTGATATTTCCATTGCTCATGTGGGCATTTAAATGTTGGCAAATATGCTTTATGGGGTTCTCTGAAGAACTGACTTTATAAAATGCAACCTAAATAAACAAATAAAAAGGAACAAAACAGGACGTTAAAGTAGAAACATCTTATAATAAACATTCAAGAAACAAACTACATGTTGGCTGAGCCACATTTGTTTAAGGAGACAGGAAACTATGAAACCTGGGCCTGGTGGTAGCATTTGGCAAACTGCAGCAGCTACCAATGTCCACTTGGTATTTTAATTTAATTTTTAATTTTCTGCCATGCACTACAATGTTATGCACAGCATCCCAGGGCATTTACTATGGAGTGCAGCAACCCCACTTACCAGGAAGCAAGTTCCATTTAATTTAATGGGATTTAATTCTGAGGAAACATGTCTAAATTTGCACTGTCAAAAGAACAACCAGCTTACCCAATATTAGGCAGCTAGGAAAACTTTGTCTATTTCCTTTCATTCTGCCCAGTTCACACACTGGGACTATTCATAGAAATATATATTACATCAGTATGATTTCAGAGCTCTTGGAATATTATAAACCATATTGCTTGAGCAGAGCAACTATCAACGTTATTAATAAAATTTGGTTCTCCTATGTTCAGAGCCCATGTTCCTATTTTAGGAGTTGTTGCCTCATGCTTCCAGAACTCCAAGCATAGCATATTTTGTTGGAAAAGGCCTGAGGTGACAGAAAGTTAAATGCTTTAGCAGGATCCTGGGGGAAATAGATCCAAAAGTTCAGTATAACATTTATACAAAGAGGTGTTCTCTATCTAAATACAAAATATTTAGTAAAGTGTTCTTGAAATCTAGATTTTTACTGCACTAGAACACATTCCTGATGGAAAAGTCATACAGTTGCCAACATCTGGAATTCTGGGAGCTGTAAGACATTTTTCTGCCTAAGCATTCATAGGATTGCACCCTGAATTTCTCAGAATACAGAGCCATGGACTGATTACTCATATCCAGATGGAACCAAATATCTATCCTGTGGAGGCATCCTGTGTTAACAATTAAAAATCAATAAATCACAGTTTGAAATTCAGCCTATTTTCTTAAATAGAAATAGTTCACTTTTATCAGGAAGCAAATCAGTGGATAAGGCAATTACCAAGTTTCTTATTGGGAGCTACCAGAGATCTTGGGAATTCATGTCTGAGGTTAATGATTCTGATAAATGTGATATGAATATTTTTGCATGGATTTTGTTTGTTGCAATTTTTCATATGAAGTTATTAGCATTGATGGTTTCAGTCAGAAATCACTCCAGTTAATTTATGTATAAACAATAAGTTACAAAGAAGCTTTAAGTCAGCCATGCTCGGTGCCCATCATCCCCAAAAAGGGAAGTTGTAAAGAAGCACATCTGGAGGACATGCTGGGCATGGCTGTTGTAAATGCCCAGTTCTCATGGTCATGGCGGGCAAATCAACCGCAGTTGGTCACTTCCCCATCCCAGAGGTCCTAGATAAGTACCTGGGAGATTTGCCTCATGAACCTTGGCAGCACAGCTTGTTACCCTGCATGAAACCAGCTAGGTTGGCTTGTTGCCATGGGAACAGGCCACCCAGAACCCTACAACAGCACACACAGGTTGGAGAAAGAATAAGCTTCTTTCCCCTTCCATAATAGTGCGACCCTGGTCAATATCTCAGTCTGGGGACAGAATCCCTCCAATAAATCTACTGCTATTCTAAATTTTGTTGATTAATTTAGGTCTGTCATTCACCATTCAGAATTGGAGCAAGTCATAACTAATGGAATGTTTTTCTGTAGGCTGTGAAGTTGAAATCCTTGGAATCAGACCTACCTACTGCTTACCGTATTATAGTGTTCCAACAGACGGCAATTTCTCTAATGCTGTAAATAATGCTATTGAGTCTTTGAGGTAAAGTGACCAACTATTGTATTTATCTGTTTGAGGAATGAAACTCTTTCTCCAAAAGGGTGGCAACATATTTTGCTGCTGGGACAGCCATGACTTTAGCACACTGCTGTGTATCCAAGTATGAATGGGCAACGGGTGGCCCCTTCTGAAACCGCAAGCAAAGAGGAAACGCATCACTATAAAAATTGACATCAATTTGCATAAGATCGTCACATGCTAATTTATGGATAGATACAAATGTGGAAATGGTTACCATTTCAACAGATATGCGCTACATAACGTGGAAGACTGTGGCCAGCCACCTGTGTACCTTGCTCAGTCTGCTGTCCAGGTGCTGCCATTGGGCAGCTTCAAGGCCCAGCTTTTGCTTCTCATGGTTTTTTATCTTTAAGCTGGACTGGGTAGTTCTTCAGAGAGAGGACACCTTCATAACAGAAGACAATCCTCCAGCACCTTTTCAAATAGAGAACTATCCTGTGTAAAAAAGGGCATGAGATTTACTTTGGTTATGTTAGTTGTGCAAACATTTCTCTTTGTTCATCTTTATGAGTGATTTGGCAGAATGTTCCCAATATCTGCAAGTCTAGAAAACAGAATAAATAGAAATAGATCAGGAAGTAGGATCAATCCCCAATCAATTTCCTTGCTGTGGGTTGGTTTGCACACTCACAGCAAGAAAAATAAGCCATAGTGGTTTATTTTCCTTGCCATGTGTTCTGGTTCTGTGCCAGCTGGATTTGCCTAATTACCCTTAGTGCCATGTCACCCATACCCAGGCAGTGGGGCTTGTTGAAGGGGGCAGCAACCCTGTACCATCAAATACCATCAAATGTATGCCTGTTTAAATACATGGCGAATGTAAGAGACTGGTTCTTGGTTATGATAGGCTGACTGAAAAGCCAAAAGCATTACCATTTGCAGTTTTGATATGGGAAGCAACAAGTGAGTCCAAATGAAATATTAAATTCGATCCGTGGGCAATGGTGGTGTCAGTGTCTGTGCATCCACTCTGGGTGTTAGCCTGGACTTTTAAAGCAGCTATATGGTGCTGATCCCTGTGCTCAAACTAGGTTCAGCACTGTGAATAGCTTGTTAAAAGTTCATAAGGAACATGGAGTGGATAGACACTGGACATAGTGAAATGACATTGGAGCCACCAGCATCCACTGAATTCCATTTGCGGGGCTTCTTATGGAAAGATATAAACTGTCCCTTAAGGACAGCAGAAGGAGGATACTGCAAATTTAGCATCGGAGATTTCCTTGTTTAACCTTCACAAGGCATTCATTGCAGACATTTTGTAATATTCTTGCAGATAACGAGCATGTTTATGTGCATATGCCACATGTGCATATGGTGGGGAGTGGGACTGACATCATGGTAGCAGATTCTGCCCCCAACCTACGGATTAATTCAAACATTAGAAGAGAGGCCATATATGGGCAAGACTGCATGCATAGGAACTTCTTCACATGATCAGGAACTTGTCTCAGTCTGTAAGGGTGTGATCCTATGTCCCCTTAACAGCATCTGAGGGACCATAGGATATTTCAGATTCCCAGATCTGGAACTGGAGACATCCTTCTGATGTTGGAGCTGCGAAACAAAGCTCCAAGACTGCCCCTCCCCCTCCCCCACACACCCACACCCACACCCACACCCACTCACACACAGGGCTGGTGCAGAAAGTACTGTGCTGGCTACTCAGAAAGTGATCTCTGAAAGGGGTGGACAGGAGCATTTTGGGGGAACAGTTAGAGGAGTCTGAAGAGGCCAAGATACAAGCTATCCAGCTCCCTTCCTCTCCCCTCCCCTCCCCCCTTGTCCCCTCCTAAGATATTCCAGCTAGATGAGCAAAGTGAAGGGTGAGATGCTGGAGAGGCAGAGATTGTCTTGGCCACTCTTCCCGCCTTGATGTCACGAGGCAGATTTATCAAAGCAGGAACAGTAGGTGATGACCAGTCTCATGACAGAGGAAGAGGGCTACCATGACATTTCCATCCAGATTTATTTTAAGTCTAATGACTTCATGAGCAAAATGTAGGACATTTTAAGGAGCAAAGGGTAACAGACCACAGGATACTGTGTGGTCTGCACTTTTTCTTCTTGACAGACTTGGTAGTGCATTGCCTGGGAAAAGCATCCTAGTCTGGAATTCAGAGCTGAAAGATATCCAAAGGACTCAGCCGCATGCATGCCAGCATAGATAAAGTCATCCAACTCCCAGCACTCCCTAGCCAGCCTACCTATTTATTTACATATTTAAAACATTTATATACCATGCCCATTGCTAGATGGCTCTCTGGATGGTTTACAACATTTAAAATATAAAACAAAACCCAACTTCACAATAGGATAAAACCAAAAACAATTTACAATCATAATTCATAAAAACAAAATATATAACCAGTTACAGTAATGAACAGAATATGAAACCAATAGCAATAATAAATAACAATTAAACAATTAATTAATTCACAGTGCCACAAAAATAAAATATAATTTAAAATTTCAACAATTAAAATACTGAGAAAATACAAAGGGTTTAGTCTGGCATTGAAAGGTGTAGAGTGCTGGTGCTGGGTACACCTCTCTGAGAAGCTGGTATCACAAACATGGTGCCACTGCTGAAAAGGCCCTTCTCCTAGTAGCTCTCCTCCTTAGATCCTTTACAGGTGGCTCCTGGAGAAGGACCTCTGATGTCTGAGCAGGCGAGTTTGAGCATGCATAGGCTTGTGCCTGAAGAAGTATATAACTTTACATTTAACTCTTTTGTGGTGTTGCCACTCCAGGAATGGCACAGCGGATATGGCAGCCGTGTATTACGAACGGATTGACGTTGAAGGCCATCATCACGGCCCTTCATCTATTCAGAGGAAGGATGCCTTAAAAGCTGTGGATAACGTATTGTATAATATGACTAAACTTATCAAGGTTAGTGTCACTACAATGTCCTTCCCTATTTTACCATACTCTAGTCTTATCCAATGTACTCTGTAGTTCTTCCTCAAAGGCTGCTTCACATCTGCAGTTGCATGAATGCACATTCGTGTTTGAAATAGTACACAACTGCACCCATTCCAGAAGCTACGACCAGTTATGGGTACTTGTGGTCAAGCACATTAATCTGTACAATCTTAACCTGTGAAATGGCCTTTACCAGGCATGGGAAGGTCACAGCTTCTGAAGGTGGAAAAGCCATAATGCAGCGTAGCACATATCAAAAGTCCCCACAGAGCTGGCTTTAGCCAGTGCTGTGATCTGCCTGTTGCCAGAGTGTGAGACTAGCAGAGGACCCACAGCCCACCTGCAAAGCCAGAATGGCGATGCACATGGAGCATGCAGTAAATCCAACAGCAGATTGAGGGTGAGCAGTTTTCATACTACAGCTCTGCAACAGAAACCTTGCCCAAGGACCCCACATTCTCAGAATCTCATATTCCGTGTCTTAGCTAGCAGAGGTGTGTTCAAATTGGTAAAGGAAGGGTTGGGTCCTTAATTAAATCCACAATTAACACCCACCCAATTTTAGATGGGTCATAGTCTCTGGAGCTGCTCTCAGAACAGGTAATGGGCCAGACTCCCTTATGCTCCACTTCTAATCGATACAATCTCAAGAGAAAGCAAGACATATGCCTCCAACTTAGATCCCACTGATTTCAACTTAAACAGGACTACCCTTTCCAGGATCAAGATCATAATGTTGATTCTAAAATCATCTCCTTGAACACTACTGGATGCACAGGGAGCAGGGGAGGGTGTGTGAACGGATTAATCCGCACTGCATTTTCTCATATCAATGCCCTTGCGGGTTAGGTGAATCTGCTTACCCGACTGGAAAGAGGAAAACGCATTGTGGCCTTTTCAAGCCGTAATCACAGCCTTTACTATCTTGACAGGACAAGGGCCTGCAGAACAACCTGAATGTCATTCTTTTCTCGGATCATGGGATGACTGACATTTACTGGATGGAAAAAGTGATTGAACTGAGAAAGTGTATCAACATGAGTGATGTTATACAAGTAAAAGACCGAGGGCCTGTTGTAAGCCTGTGGCCAACCAAAGAGAAGCTGCTTGAGGCAAGAAAACAGCCACCTTTTCTCATCCTTAATCCACCTTGTGCCAATCGTTATTCCATGCTCTACACTGAGTTCTGCGGCTCCCCTATGCCATATTCTAGCTTTCCTTCTACATTAAAAAATGCCAATATTCTCTGGAAGGGAAAGGAAGAGGAAGAGAGTAGAGTCTTCTCATAACAACAAATCAGAGTACTGCTTGAGTATCTTTGGTTGATTAATTGTGAGCTGTTGTTGATATATGTGAATCTATAACCTAACTAACTATAGGCTCTTAACACTGAGCAACCCAGGAGGAGAATCCATGGTTTGTCATTGGGTTGCAAACTCTAGATTGTCTGAGGCTAACAACCTATAGTTAAACCACAGTACAAGCTTCACACATAACCCACATTTCAACAACAACCCATATCCAACTCATACTCTGAGATGTTGTTAAATGTCAACTAGACCAATGTCTCCAGATTTTCTACACTGGTTACAGAGCAGCTGCTTTTTTTTTTCCCCAATTTATATCCTGCCTTTTTCCTACAAAGGACTCAAGGCAGCTTACATCATTCTCCTCCTCCATCTTATCCCCACAACAACAACCCTGTGAGGTAGGTTGGGCTGAGAGTCTGTGACTGGCCCAAAGTCACCCAGTTGGCTCCATGGCTAAGTGGGGACTAGAACCCAGATCGCCTGAGTCCCAGTCCCATGCTTTTAACCACTACACCACACTGGCTCTCACCTATCCAGCCAATTGTTTACATGGAAGCTGGCCTTCTGGGTTTGCTGAAGGTAGAGGACTGAAACTAGGAAGTATGTACCTTATATTTGGAGAACTTGGGGGAGTGTAAGACTTTCAGAAATACAAACTGATTTATCTGGGATCCCCAAAAGCTGTGAAGTGGCCCTGAGATTCTGAGAGTAGTTAGATATAGCTTGTGATGACTTGGAAAAAACCAGCATACCTTGAAAGATGCACATACATTGATATAATTTGTTGTTTCTTTGCAGGTGTATAACAAACTGAAAAATGTTCCACACCTCACCGTTTACAGGAAAGAAGATATCCCTGATAGATTCTATTATAAAAAAGGGAAATTTGTCCCTCCTTTGACACTTGTTGCTGAAGAAGGATGGTTCATAGTAGAGGTAAATCACTTATGGTCAGTCTGTATAAACTGAGACCCAACGAATGGAACATCGCCATTTAGAGTGACCCATTCACAGCCCCACAGTTTTTGCACTACAAGGCTAGTAGCAATCCTAAGGTATTTACTAAAACCCTGGTGAGCCAACATATATACTTAGCTTGATGAGCCACAAGTTGTGCATGTCTGAGTAATGATATAAAAAATCTCTTTGGGTGTCCCATCAAAGACTGTTTTTCAATATAACTGTATCTGGATGAAATACAAGAAGTTAACACATCTTCTGTTTAAAACATTGAAGTCACATTTGAATTTCATGACTATATGAAGATGTTTACACAGCTATTTTAATTAATTAATTCATTATTCAGAAATCATTCTTACATTACCAAGCTCAGTTTTAAATATCAGGTTTCTTTTATCAATGCCAGAAACTCTGACAGATCCTTATACTGGGTCATTGGGTACATCAAACTGAATCATTTTGTTAGCACAAACAGCACTGAATTAGGAGAAACTGGTTCCAAACTATGTGCTAGAGGAGAACCCAACTAAAGTTGGATTTGAGCAACTGGTTTTGCATTGCTTTTTATTTTTATTTTTTCTGACTGTTGAGGATATCTTCTTATTCTATCATTTCTGAGTCTCACTATTATCTAATTATCAACAGAATTAAACTAAATATTGCCTTACATGATTGTGTGTTCATGCAAGTCATTTTTAGAATGCCCAAATGTTCATCTTGGACCCTTGCACATGCCAAACATGGCATTTACATGTGTAAAATGTGTAAAAACATTTACTGCAGCAGTAAAGCTTCAAAGCATTTCCTTCTGCTAACTCGGTGGAAAGAACTTTATCATAAAGTATTCCAAAGGAGTAAATATATATTTTGGAAATATATAAGCAACTCTCTTCTGTATATGCTGCACTAATAGCTAGCACACAGCTGAACGCATAAACTTTACAATGAAGAAAATAATCAGTAGAACAAAATTAAATAAAGGAATAGCAGTAACCATTAACATAGGGCCAATTATATAAAACTTGAACAAACTTTTAAAAAGGCTTTGCCTGGGTCAAATTGACATCAGAAATGAGTGAGTTTCTCTGGGGAGGACATTTCAAATCCAAGTTGTCACATCTTTGGTCATCACCTGATTAATTCTGGATAATTATTTTTCAATATTTATAGGCTGTATTATAACAGAACTTTTTCAGGTAGCAGAGGGATACACTCTAGATCAGGGGATGAAAGGTGATTTGATGCTGGTGGTCTGGTATCAGTATTAAGTGCCAATCTTAGCTGTCCTGTGTGTGTGTGGGGTGGGGCGGGGGGGGGGGCAACATTCGAAACAGGCTTAGCCTCTTGGCCAATTTTCTTGCATTGCCCATTAGTGTCTTTTGGGTAATCGGAGATCAAAAATGAGATTAATTGGAAGCTGAGTGACACCCCAAGAGAGCAACCAGCCCCAGCAGGCTTCCTGAACAGATAATATGGAATTTCCAGATCAGCCTAATCAAATTACCTCCTGACACAAGTACTCACAGTAGCATAAAGAACAAGTCATTATTAAGTATCCCGTTACTAAAACAATGGCCTTATAAACAGCCAGAGTCTGACTGATCATTTGTTACCTTCTGGAAATTCCTAAAGTATGAGTAACTGAATAAGCACTGATTTGGGTCCTGCTAGTTACAAAAATAAGCACAATTCAAATGTCACTTACAATACATAGAATTACCTCTCCTGCTGACTTTGAGCCTCATATATTGGAGAAGGTCCTGATTTCAGCTATACCAGGACACTGCATACAGCCACTGCATATTTAAATTTCCTTTCCTTTTTGAAGGATGCCAAATGGAGTGATGGTTTCAGTGAATTTGAGCTACTAATGTGATAAATTGTTTCTGGAGTCCCTTTTGATTTTTCTCTGCTTCTATTTATGTTGAGAATCTATACCTAGGAACTGTCAGCACTGCTAACCATTAAAAAAAATCTCAAAAACTTAGGAATCCCAAGAATAGCTATACAGTTCATTGTATCTAATTGTCTGCAGATGTACTAGATGATTGAACAATTCTGGCTGACAAATTAAATGTTTCTTTTACTCTATTTACATTGACAAGAAACTAGGCTGAGAAAAATAAAAGATGGACTGTCTTCGGACTGCAGACCCCCTGGTGCTGTTGCTTTAATTGCCTTTCAGGAAGCGAACTGTCAGTGGTGTGCAGCCCATTAGGAAGTGTCTGCCATGTTTGCAAGCATCTACTTAGGGCCTGCCAGGGCTTACCTAATCTGCGAATTCTCTAGTGCCAGCATGACATAACTCAAGTTAAGCCTTTCAACACTAGCAGGTTTTGCGCTGTTCCGCTAATGTTGTGTCAAAACCAAGACATTAAATGCCCTCAACCAAGACATTAAATGCATATGGGTAGGTCAGCTTATACTGAGTATGCTGTCCAAAAGCACAGCAATGTTCATTTTATGTGCACACCTTCCAACGTTTTACAAGTTTTCTAGAATTTGCAAGCAAACAGTGATGCCATGCTTATTTACTGGCACACTTCAATTATTCTTTCAAAACACTGCCCCATAGTTTAACTGCTTGGCAAATTCTTTTTGTTCCTCTCATTTAGGGACTTCTTGTTTTCTTGTATTTTATCACTATTGTGTTATTTTAACTTTGTACACAACTTCAGACTGCTCTTATGGGTGAAGACTGGTACAGATTTTTTAAAAATGGAGTTTTTGAAACTTAGTGGGACCTACATCTGAGTAGACATGCATAACACCCCATGTGCATATTCTGTACTTTCAGTACTGTGACCATTTGTCAATGCAGCTCCCTACAATTATTTACTTAATTTTCTATGTTCATTCTTCCAATCCATTCATACCAACCACACCCTAAGCCAAACCCTTCCCATGTAGCTGCGTTAGGACTGTAACCTGAGATGCTGAACAGAATTTCTTTCCTCCGCAGAGCAGAGATGCGCTTCCATTTTGGGAGAATGGCACTGGAAAAAGAGAAGCTTGGCAAAATGGATGGCATGGCTATGATAATGAACTCATGGATATGAGAGGGTTCTTCCTTGCATATGGGCCAGGTGGGTTGGCTAGAGAAGTACAGAGTCATCACAAAGTCTTTTCCTTCCTATCTTCCCGTTTTTAGAGCTGTATCGATTGCATACAGAGAAGGTAGTTCATTGTGCAAAAGCAGGATGGCCAATAGCATAAAAGGAAGACCTGCACTGCCTTTAGCTCCCACCTCTTCTCTCAAAGGCTGAAGTAAATCATATCAAACTCACTTTATCAATATAATGGCAAGCTATCTTTATACAATGTCTATGCACTAGCTTTAATGATCCACTTATGGGTGTCTAATTAATAAAATCTCTTCCTCTTAATGCGATGATCTCTGGCTGGAAAGCACAAGATGGGAAAGTGTAAAGTTTGTATAACTTGGGATCTTCAATTATTTAAATCTTAAACCTAAATCTGTCTCCAGCCAGAGCACTGCACAGAGTTGATTTCTTAGACCTGGAGCAATCCAAAGTTACTCATGGCTAAGATGATAAAACTTGCAGCTGTGTTTCTTGTGTTTTAAGAATATTCAAGCCAAAATCCACCTCCAGCCCACAAAATAGGATGCATGAGCCACACAATTTTCTAAAGTGGCATTAAACAGAGTGCATTGCCAGCAGCCTAGCCAATTGCCTTTGACTCACCATGTTGAAAGAACTATATCATACAGTTATAAAACTGGGAGAAAAGAGTTGGTTTTTAAATTGAGATTCAAAGCCAAGATATCAAAATACTTAGCTATATGTTCTTGCCTGTATCTCACAGTATTAACACATTTGGGCTTACTCTGATGCATAGACAGAAAGGTAGTGAAACAGTACTGTACAAACTCTTGAAAAGGGAGGTTAGGATTATCATGAATATAAACGGAGCTATATTTCAGATCTTTGGGTCACAACTGCCATATATGGGAATGCTGGACCCCTAATTAGTTTACAGGCTGAATTATATCCCAGGCCTATGCAGCACAGCCATGGAAAGCATCCAACTAGATTGAGATGTTAGGAGGGAAATTAAGAGCAGCAGAAAGGGACAAAGTGAAGCCAAGAGCCAGAGGTACAATTAAAGGAGGCAGGAATAATACCAAGAACAGAATGCAGTAGCTCAATTGACCAATAAAGGAGCACTTAAACTAATTTGGCTAAAGGCCAAATTCCATTTTGGAGAAAGTCTCAGTGGCCACTCAGTGGTGAGCAGACTGAAAACAAAAGTGACAGGGCTGAAAGCAAAAGGAAACAGGCAAAACTACCAAGAATGGCAATTTGTTTTAGTTTTAAGTACTTACTGGTATGAACTAAGGCTTAAGAGAACACTTTCCATCTTTTAAAAAGCACAAACGCCAGGAAACTGCCAAATAACTGGGTGCTGGGAGAAAGTGAAGCTGGGGCAGGGGGCAGTGGCCATTTGGGCACCGGTAAAGGAGTGGATTGGGACCCTAGGAAAGACAGATTTCACCTCCTCCCCATGAACCTGAATTTGTGCATACCTGGCTTAAGTAATAGCTCTAGAAATGTAGGTACTTGCTTAAGGTCAGCAAGTTCCAATCATTAGAGATGGAAATTCTTGTTCATATGGAAATCTCTGATGATTGACTAGCTACTAATTATAAGGATTCCATGTGGCTGGGAACGTGGGCAGTTGCTGAATCAACTTCACACATGGACATGGGATGACTAGTTGGCATATGAACTCATGTTGGCACTATGCAAATAATTAAACATTTAAATGGTGGCCAGACCAGCTACTTTGAAATTTACCATCTTCTTTTATCAGACACCTGAACTCATGCAAAAGGGAGGCAAACACTGAATTCCAGAACACTGCAATTTACTTGGTTTGTGTAGCACTATCATGAATACCAGTGGTTTAAAACGTCTCATTGTCATTTTGTTTTAGATTTCAAGTCAAACTTCAGAGCAGCACCAATCAGATCGGTTGATGTTTACAACATTATGTGCAAAGTTGCAGGAATACAGCCACAGCCAAACAATGGATCCTGGTCGAGAGTGCAGTGCATGTTAAAAAGTAATGCCAAAATGGCACGATCATTCCAGTGGAGCAGCTTTGTGCTGGCACTAATTCTGTTTGCATTGTTTATATAACAGACCTCGTTACTCTGGTCCCAATACAATGTCAGTCAGTGTTTCCAGTTTTCCCCCATTCATTATTTGAATAGCAGCATTAACAGAATACTGTCTGGGGATGATTGTACAGATTCATTACTATAGTCATTCCTGATTTCAAGTGTTTATGGGCCTCAAGAAACAAATCTTACGTGGGCCCCTTACCCCATCTCCAGGTTTTGAATCAATCTCCAGGTGACCCAAGAAAGTGTTCGAGGCCCACGATCACTGAACAATAAGTTCCACATGAAAAGTATTCTCTCTGCAAATCCCCCTGCATAAATTTGCAGCTTTTTTGGGTTTGTATTTATTTGTACTTAAATAATGTGGAGAAAGCTCCATGTACTCGCTAGGCATTCATAGGGCATTCCCTGCCCTTACACACCAATCAATTTTTCTAAGCTAGAAGTAGAGAACTTGGTATCCAGAAGTTCTGGACTACAAGTCCCATCCTCTCTGACCAATGTCCATGCTGTGTGGGTCTGAAGGGAGCTGTGGTCCAAGCAATCTGGAGTCTACCACTTTGCCTACCCTGATCTAAGCTATTACTTTTTATTTGGCATGAAGAGTCTGGCATTTGGTATTGCAATTGTAGCCCCGTGCAGAGGCAAAAGCCTACCTGACTTCATCAGAGGAAGCACTGCCACCCCATTTCAAAGATATGTTAAGAAACCAGGTGCCTGTTTTCAGGAAACTGGTCCTCATCAGTGTCACAAGCCCATTCCCGTTTCCATTCCTGTTCTTAGTTGATACTATAGGTCCTCTCACTTCCAGGCAAATAGATGGGGAAGAAACGGAGGTAGTGGCAGATTTTATTTTTCTGGGCTCCAAGATCACCGCAGATGGGGACTGCAGCCAAGAAATTAAAAGACACTTGCTCCTGGGGAGGAAAGCTATGGCAAAGTTAGATAGCATAATAAAAAGCAGAGACATCACCCTGCCAACAAAAGTCCATATAGTCAAGGCTATGGTTTTCCCAGCTACAATGTCTGGCTGTGAAAGTTGGACCATAAGGAAGGCTGAGCGCCGAAGAATTGAGGCCTTTGAATTGTGGTGCTGGCAGAGACTCCTGTGAGTCCCTTGGACAGCAAGGTGATCAAACCGGTGAGTCCTAGAGGAGATCAACCCTGACTACTCTTTAGAAGGCCAGATCCTGAAGATGAAACTCAAATACTTTGGCCACCTAATGAGAAGGAAGGACTCCCTGGAGAAGAGCCTAACGCTGGGAACAATAGATGGCAAAAGAAGAAGGGGACGGCAGAGGATGAGGTGGCTGGATGGAGTCACTGAAGCAGTTGGTGTGAGCTTAAGTGGACTACGGGGGATGGTGGAGGACAGGAAGGCCTGGAGGAGTGTTGTCCATGGGGTCACAATGGGTCGGACACGACTTCGCGACTAACAACAACAATAGAGCTGTACAATTTTCATATCTACATATATAAACATAGGTAAAGATACAGATACATTAAACTTCTAGTGGAAAATCCCTGTAGACAGTAGAATCCCTGTCTTTGGAACTAATGTATTAACTTTAAATTGTGTTCCCACAGAATCCTAATGCCAGAGTCACCATAATCAGTAATTAGCATTCCCTTACATTCAGACTGTCCAGATGAATGAGATTGCATTGTCTGTAGAAAAGGAATAGACACCCAAAGACTTCCATTGATTTAAAGAGGACACAAGAGTATATACGGCAGTATAACTGCAAGAACAAAATTTGCATACAGGGCACCCAATTCTAGTGTGAATTTTTGAAGCTGCTTTTGAACAATTTTGTGTAAGAGCAGTTTTTAAATATATGTATAGCAAAGACTTAGAATACATTGTATATATGACTTTTTTGAGAAAAGCTACTTCAGGGATAACAACCGTACATGATGATCTGTATGTTTAAAACCTACATATACAGATATTAAGCCTGACAGAAGAGTTTTATAATAACTGGTAAACATTTATACCATTTTTAAGCTCAAGTGAACCATCAAATCTATTTGAAGGAAAAAAGAAAAGGAAAGAAAAGAAAAACAGTCTTTTGTTATTAGGCTATTGAGTATAAAAGGCAATTTAGTTCTTTCTAAGCATTTGCAGCAACTGGGAACAAACAACTATTGTTTAGAGGTCTGCATTTCTCATTAATAGACCAGGCTTTCTGAATTTTTGGAGCACTCCCCTCCCCCACTTAAAAAGCAGGAAAAATCATCATTCAAAATGATCATTAACATTTTTGCTTCAATTCACTTTTTCAACACGTTATACAAATGGGAAGAATCAGAACAAGCAAACACTACTCATAATCCTCTGTATGCTGCTATTGCTTCAGCATTTCTTTACCTAAATATCGCATCATCTTCAATCCTCAATATATTTTTCAGGGAGATTCTATATATGTCTGCTCAGAAGCACGTTCCACTCATTTCATTGGCACTTAACACCTAGGCAGCATGCACAGAATTGCAAGCTTAGCCACTTTCTGTTCATTACATACAATGTAGATTTAGCATAACATTCTCTTCGTAACAGTTTAATTATTCCAGATTTCACCAGTGGAATATAGTTTTGAATCAAGCCATTATGACAGGCGTAAAGGAAATAAGTGCCTTTATTGAACGTGCCTCTTGAAAAATTTCTGTGGTGCAGGGCTCTCCAGATGTACGCAGTTGAATAAGGTCTTTGTGCAAATGGATACAGCATGACACCTCACTAACACGATCCTCCCAAGTGTTGGGAGTGAGGAGGAGGGCAGTCTTTCTTATGGACTTCTGGCTGCATTCCAGACAATTCAGAATTGGAATGGGAATTGACTCACAAGGGGATCAGGGAGGAAGAGTTATGTCAAACTCTGAGTTGAAGGAGGCAAAGGTGATTATCTCAAGGCCAGGAGCTTCACCAAGCCAGGTAGTCTCTGGGAAAGACCAAGATGTACAGTCAATGGGAGGGTCTTTAAGGATGAGGCATTCTCAGACACAGGCTAGCCCCATCCTCAACTCAAGGTGTCAGCAGAGGCGAGAGGCCCAATTGGACAAGCAGCATTCAGAGGAGGTGTGCTTACTTACAGAGAGCCCCTCCTGAGGGGATGGGTCCCAGGCATGTTCATAAGGAGAGTTCCTGGAGACAAACACTCAATTGGGTTCAACAAACTGTGCATGCTCTGTGCATGCTCAGAAATCCATTCTGGGGGAATTGTACTTGGGGGCAATAAAGAACATCTTGCAAGGAAAATGGACTGTAGCTTTTCACTGCCTGAAGGAGGAACCTTGGCTCCTGACACCAAGCATTCATAAGGGAAGCAAAAGAAGTTACTGCTCTTAAAGCTGACTGACTTCAGGAGAAATTATTGAATTTTGTATTCATTTTTCTATGTACCTTTTGTATTGATTCATGTTACAATTTAAGAAATCAAAGACTTGTGCTATAATATTCTAATGTGTATAGATCACAAAGGGACACATGCTTTGAAGATATGGAAATACTAAATGGTCAAAGTCTGGCTTGTCAGTTGCTCCATCACAGAACTTGGTCTGGCTCTCCCTGAATGGCTGAACCAGGCATGATGTGAAGGGTGCTATCCTGTCCTCTCCTACCCACCAGCCTCCCACTGAGTGCAGGGTATGAGGTGCGATGTGGGCTTTGCCATCCTCCTGTCCCACATTGTTGCTCAGAAGGCTTTTTGGCCCATCAAGCCAGGGTGACTTGGAAAGGGAGGAAAGGAGGCTGAAGGAGGCGGCAGTCGGAGGCCTTGTGTCTTGGCCACCCAAATCTTGTTTCCTCCTGCCTCCTAAAAACTCCACCTTTTGCCTCCTTCCAGTGTTGCATTTCCAACCTTTTTCATGCTGGCAGTGAGGGCACTGGGAAGGAGGAAGATCCTGTGGCCCTGCAGACTGTCTTGGAGCCACATGAGCCTCTTCCAAATGTGCCTTTGCAGCTACAGACATTTTTTTAAAGAATACAAATAGCTGCTGCAGATTGGCTTAGTTCTGCTCTTCCCAATCTGGTGGCCTCTGGCTGGCCTTGCACTACCATCCTGCCTCAAGTGGCACAACTGAAAGCAGCATGCTGGTAGTTGTATTCCAGCCCATCTGGAGAGCACCAGCTTGGTGATATTTGGCTCAGCCACTACTTGGAAGGCAGCACAAGGGGAAGAACCCACCCAGAGAAGGAGGAGTGAGCCCGGTTTCCCACCACCTGCCACTGCCATGCTGTGAGACCGCTCTGTCACCATCTCCTCATTCTTCTTCTGGTACCCAGCAGCCCTCAGCTTGTGAAAGGAGACCACAGAAGAGCCATCACAGCCATCTGGTGGTCTCATGAGCAGAAGCATATAGAAAGGTCTGCCAGGAGCCATGCAGTGATCTTGGTGCCAATGTGATCCAAGCATGAACAGTTCTGAGAAACTGGACAACTTTTCTAGCACTTCCACGGCTAATCTGGCAGTTAATCTGAAGGGTACCCCTTGGCGGGAATTTCCTACTTCCCAGAATACCCTACATTGGACAGAAAAGTTGAACTGTGTTGGAAACATATTCTGATTAATCAGTTTAATGAATGATAGCACTGTTCAATCATCAACATAAGAGATCTAGATTGAAAGTTGGAAAGTCAGTTGGAGAATACAGTTTTCTGAAGAGTAGAATGTATTACTAGATGTATTTTCAATAAAATAGAACATTTATATCCATTGCTTCGTTTCTCTTTTCCAAGACACATGCATATCTACTTTAGAGCTGTACTGAATG